ACCCCCACCAATTTCTTTAAATAGTAGGGATACAGGGAAAACTTGTTTCTTTTGCCACTTGAGCTTCAACTATAGTACAATCAGTACGGGAGAGTAATAAGTGAACAAGGCGAAAAAAAAATCTCATTCGAACGCAGCCATGTAAACTTTAAATCCGGATTAAAAAAAAAAGATAAACACAAAACATAGTCATTTAGACTATTTTCAGAAAGAAAACATTTTTAACAATGTCGAAGGAAAAGAAACAATAAATCGCGAGAATTTACATTCAACCCTCTGCTGAATTGGCGACAAGATTTCTAAAAGAAACGCTCTGCTCCCCACGACAAAAATCATTCCAAACTTCACTCATAGTTAGTAGTTCTAGTAACTATGCTTCACTGTAAACCACAAATGTACAAATGTCAGATTTCGCGAATGCCACAAAGAACTACAAAACGCTGATAGAAACCGCTTCAAATCTATCAACATCCATTATTCCCGAGCTTTAGATCAACATAGTTGATAACAATTAGTAGTTATTTATATGCAAACCCGTCAAGACTGAAGTTAAGAGCGTTCGAGATTCTTCGACATTGAAATTTACGACCAGTTTCAATTGCCGAATTCTTCAAAGTTATACCGAATTGATGAAATACCTTCGCTATTTAGGCTAATACTTTTAAAACGACGTAAATTAATAATGATTTTCAAGAACAAACAATTACTGTCTTTTTTCTCTGGTCTTCTGATAATCACAAAAGGCGACTTCAAGGTCCCCAGCTGGGCGGAGTACCCAGCACCGCTCAGTCGAAGTTGCTATGGAAACATTTCCAAAATGGCGTTCAGTACTGTCTGATAAACAAACGGAGGCCTGATTCCTCTCAAAGATGGATATGTTAGATTACTGCAAGACCTTTAATATGGTAAAAAGTAGTTATGCCAACCAAGAATCTACCGATTTAACTTCTCAGGAAGCTCGGCAACTAGGTGGTTCGCAGAAGAATCACGAGAATAATGATGGCGATATGTTGGTGGAGACTGTCGAGAGTTTGTCAACAAAACCTGGGGATTTATCCATTTATGGGCCAGATACACAGATCGACAAGGACATAGGCAATTCTGGGGAGAAGAAGCTGAGCACTTTGAATGAGGTAGCGAGGAAAAAAGGAATGATCTCCACGCTAAATACGAAGACTCAGCAAAGACTGAATTTTGAATGTGAACTGACTTTTGCCCCAAAACTCAATGCACTGAGTATAAAACTGGCGAAAGAACGCGGCGTAAAGGTCCGTTCTAGCTCTGACAGAAAGACTTATTACGCGGCAGATGAGTTTACTTTTAAACCCAAAGTGAGTTCGAACAGTGTTAAAATCGTACAGCAGCTGAAAACGACATTTATGGACCGGCAGCAAATGCACGTGGAGAAGCAGAAGCGCTATGTGAGTACACATTTGACTTTTAGCATTCTACTGTTTAGTTTTGTCTGGAGCTGATGATTGACGAGCTCAAGTCACCTGGAAGTATACCAAATGAACATGAAATGTCTGCAAAGAGCCCATATGGGGCAATATCAATCAACTCGTGCAATTTGAAGTGCTAAATCTTAAGGACTCTTAATAAGTTACTCTTTATATGCTCGAGACCGTGATTGCATTGGAGTATTGGTCGGGATGTTGATAGCCTAAAAGTCGCGTTTAGTGGTTTAACCAAACAGGAAATATTTGGTATGTTGAGTGTAAATCTCGTAAAGCAACCTTGGAATCATCCACAATCAAATCTTACAAATTGTCCTCGTCTTTGGAAACGCCTAATTAATGATAAAAAAAACGTAAGAAAAAATATGCATGTAATTACCAATATATAAATCTCGACTAAATGCATTTTCAGTACGTTATGTGATTTAGTCTTTTTTTTAATGTATTTTGGATTTTCTATCAAAATTTACTCCTTACTCTCCCACAGTACCTATACAACATTTAAACAATTATAATATTACACAAATATAGATTTCTTGTGATAATTATAACTGTCCTCGTGATTTTGAGCACGATATACTATTATATTATCTAAGTAAAAATGATCCCACTAGTCATTTTGGTGAGAATTTTTTAGATATATCATATATATATAACAGATATATTTCTTTGTCTGTGATTTCACAGATTGAAGCAACAATCAACAATTCAAACCAAGCCAAAGACAAGTTCACTCCAGTTCCTGATAAAGTTTCCAGCAGGTCTCCAACAAGATTGAAAAAGATTTCAAAAATCAAAGAAGCCAGGTCTGCAGAGGTTAGTTCAGGCATTATTTCTTTATTTCCTGGTCAGATTAGTTGCTGCCCAGGCTGGTATTTATATTCACTCCCAGGATCTCATATGAAATTCTGGTTACTGTCTGCTGTGCAATTCTTATGATTTTACTTTGGAGAACTGGTATTAAATCATCTAACAATAATCCCAAACTGATATTCCCTCTACTCTAATTGCTTGTCTGCTTGATTTTGTAATGATACTGTGGGGAGAAATTCTGTCTTGGTCATTCATGGAAGTTAAAGGGTCAAGACTTAAGTACCATCCCTTTCCACACCAGCATGGTCTACGTACCCAAATAGAAGAAAAAATTCAGTGATACACATCTCCCCACTATTGTTCGAGCAGCACTTACATTAGGCTCATTTTCTGCTGCTCTCTCTCGAGTCTGGTCCCTTCAGGAAGGAGCATGGGCTCCAGTTCCCAAACAGTGAAAAAAAAAAAAAAAAAATCAGTGATACACATCTCCCCACCACTGTTCTAAGCAGCACTTACATTAGGCTTGATTTCTGCTGCTCTCTTGAGTCTGGTCTCTTTAGGAAGGAGTGCAGGCTCCGCTTTCTGAACAGCGGCTGTTAACTGAGCCCGCACTCACATTTTTTTCTGCAAATTTCATTTCAATCACACCACTCCCTCAGGTTGAGAGAGATGACTGTCTACTGATCAGCTGGTTGAATTAATTGATTCAGAAACATTTTGTCAAAATTCTGCAGGAAGATGATCAGAAGTTGTCAGATGAGAGTTCAATGACATCTCCAGAAGTGCTAGTATCAACGTTGGCACCTGATTTTCTAACAACTCACACCATAAGCACATCCATTGGAACTGATAGAAGAGGTTCACAGGAAAAATCTGACGAGCAATCTGACTTGAACTCTTTGTCTTCGAATGATTTCACAAGGAAAACAAAGTCAACTGGAAAAATTTCAGAGAATGCTGTCAATAGAGCTAATGCTGCATATCAAAAATTCCAAGAAACTAGTCCTTACAATCAGTCCCTTGAAAATTTATCCTTGAAAAGGGGAAAGCGAGTTTTAAAGGCTGCACGCAAAAGGACGATTACCCATCCCCCAGCAAAACTGGTCACCACTGAAAGTAACAACAATAGCCCTGGATGGGATGAGAGTACAAAAGTCAAGATTACTGGAAAACAGAAAACTTCTCACTCCAGGAGTCACTCTCAACCTAACTCACAGCCAGGAAAAAAGAGTTATGATGATCCTATGTTTGACAAAGTTAGAAATGCAACAAAAGTAGCAGAAAATGCCATCAAGGTAAGAATCATTTAATTCTGTAGAACATTCTTGGGTTTTGACACTTGTCAATTAAATCTTATCACACACATGTATGATTTGTACCATGACTTTGAATTTGTAATTTATAATGGATTGTGTTGTGCCTTTCAACAAATGTTGTAAAGGAGTTGGGGATGCATGTAAATTTTTTTAATATATCCTTGAAGATGACTAATCAGGGAATGGTTCATTGTTAAAAGCTCTATTTGAACCCCCCCCCTCCCTCCCATCCCTTAATTCTCTTACAATATCGCCCCTGAATCATGCACACACTTGGGTGTTAATATGAAGGAAATGATCACTGACTAAAGAAGCTCTTGATGGTTAAACAAATTCTCCTTCTCAGTACCTTAAGAAATGTATAGAGAACAGTATATGGAGAATTAATGCACATTGATGTTAGAGTGTAAAGATATCACGATTTTATAAGTACTTTCTCTCTAATTGACACCTTTGGACACATTTGGCCTTTTAAATTTCATTAGTGAAACTGATATAGATTGCCTTCAGTTGACTGGAAAAAATTCCCTTTTACTACCCTTTAATTTACACCCTACCATCAGTATTTACATTCTCATATATCCTTCTCTATACACTTCTTTTGGTACTGGCGAGGAGAATTTGTTTTCCAATCAAAGTTCTCTGGGTTGGCAAAGGTGAAGTCTGTTTACAACCCAGTGGCTCATCAGGCTGACGCCTAACTCCGGTTTCTGTAGCATGAAGCAACTAGGAGTATTTCTACTCCCCCCTGGATAGGATGCTAGTCCATCGCAGGGTTACCCCCCCCCAGCATTAAATTTGCCAGTAACCATTTAAACACCTGGGTGAAGAGAAGCACCGTGAGAGTAAAGTGTCTTGCCTAAGTACACAACACAATGGGGTGTTACGAAAACAAAGACCCTAAAAAACGAAGACCTTAGACCTGACACCCAGTCTTCTTTTTCTTAGTACGAAAACAAAGACCCTGTAAACAGGAAACTGTAGAAATTACAAGTTAAACGCACATTAAACAGTAACAACATTTAGTAATATAGTACATTACACTTCACGCGTTCCTTCCCATTATTATACTGCCCGTATTATTGTGCTGCCTGTATTATTATACGGCCCGTCTTGTCAGTGTTCTGTTTCGCTATGCGAGCCAATTTGGTGTTGATATTCTCGAGGGTTTCCTCGGGAAACTTACCTCACATATTATTCTTCTGGAACAGTATAGGCAGAATTCCAACGCCAGCCGCATTTGATTTATAGTTAGCATTCCGTGACAGAATAACAAAGAATGCGTTCTGTACAGGAAAAATGATTCTTGGGTTCTGTCAATAAATAATAAATTCCTACTGTATTTCATAGCTAACATAGATTCAGACGGTCGTTCAGCTTTCTCTGTTGGAAAATTCTCGTTAAAAAGTAAGCAATTCTTTTGGCTAATGCAGGGTCTTCGTTTTCGTACTACGAAAACAAAGACCCTGAGAATGCGTTCTCTGTTATTTTGTCACGCAATGCTAACTATAAATCAAAGGCGGCTTGCATTCGAATTCTGCCTGCTGTTCCAGAATAATATGTGTTGTAAGTTTACCCGGGGAAACCCTCGAGAATATTAACACCAAATTGGCTCGCATAGCGAAACAGAGCAGACAAGACGGGCTGTATAATAATTATGGGAAGAAACGCGTGAAGTGTAATGTATTATATTACTAAGGGTTGTTGCTGTTTAATGTGTGTTTAAGTTGTAATTTCTATGGTATTCTGTTTACTGGGTCTTAGGTCTTCATTTTCGAGGATCTTCGTTTCGTAACACCCCAACACAATGTCCCCGGCCGGGGCTCTAACCCAGACGACTCGATCCAGAGTCGAGCGCACCAACCATGAGGCCACTGCGCTCCTCCACCTGGGTTGGCAATCATTTCTTATATTCTCATATTGAGAGTTATTCTCATGATCCTAATGAATAACTCAGCTGGATATATTACTGTAAGGAGAAATTGGATGCTGGTCTGAAAAGGGTTGAGTTTATGTCCTAAACATTCAAGGTAGGGAAAGACCACAAACAGTGATTTAAGATGTGCACCTGTAGGTGTAAATCACATGTACCCTTCATTTTTCTTGGGGGTGGAAAGTGATTAAGACTGAGCTGAGGTAAAGAAGGGCACAGCTAAGGAGTTAAGTAAACGTTCTATTTTTGTAGGTTTATGATCTATTTTGCTGTAAGGGCATCTAGTTTTTAAATTGATATTTTTTTGTGGTGGAAGGGATTCATCTTTAGGTGTGGTGGATTACTTTATATGTACAGTTGAACCTCGATTAACCGGACTTGTCAGGACCTTAGTAAATAGTCCGGATAATCGAGAGTCCGGATAATCGAGAGTCCGGACAATCGAGAGTCCGTATAATCGAAAATATGAATATTAATGAGATAGAGATGTAAACAAAGGTATACAGCAAAGAAAACATCATTTTAATTGTGAAATCTACACAGCCTGTATGTATTTACAAATATAACTTTAGGTTCAGGTATTTACAAAGGTCGAAAATGTTCAAGCATGTTTGTTTGCTTCAAAGACTTGTAGCTTGAATTGATTGCTTTGAGTTTTCAAGATCACAACTATTTAATATTCACGAAAAAATTAGGGCCAGAGAAAAAAGTCTGGATAATCGAATAGTCCAGATAATTGAGGTCCAGATAATCGAGGTTCGACTGTACTAACTAAAGATTCTCATCACCAATAGTGTCCAATATTAATTTTCCATCTGTTACTTACAGAAGAAGAAAGTATTTATTTGCCATGGACCCTACCCAATTGTGCGAGCTGTGCTGCGAAAGCGAGGATACGTAGAGAAACATTACAAAGGAAGTCTTTTACCTACAAAAAACAAGAAAAATGAAAGTGACGGTAGAGATGATGATAATTCTTGTGACAGTGGGGATGAATCTGACAATGAAATGTCACCCAGGAAAGATGCAAAGGCCGCCAGTAATCTTCTAGCTAAATCACATAGGGCATCTAAGACTAAAACAAGGGCTGTCGTCAATGTTAGTAAGAATAGCAACGATGATGACGGTGATGATGGTAGCTGTTGTGATGACAGTGACACTGACAGCACTGACAATGAAGATTGGAATGCAGGGTATGACGGAAATGGTCCAGACTGTGAGTTCAGTCTTATGGTGGGTAAATGTAAAGTACTTTCATATATAAAATAATTCTAAATATATGATTGTGTTATTCGCCAGATGGGAGGTCTGTTAACGGGTTGGAGCAACTGTGCCTAAGGGCTTTGAGTGTGGCCCGAGGCAATAGCTGTATCTAGTAAATAACATTAGGTGACAACTTATCGTGATCAATAAATTTTTAAGGATTGTTTACTGAGTAAAGAATAAATGATTTTAATTTAAAAAAGAAAGAGAGAATTTTAAATAATTAATTTATTCATCAATGGTTAATGGACAGCATAGCTGATTGGTTGCCTAGTGATTATGACAGTGGTTGTCAAGGAGACTGATAATGATGTTCTGCATTGCAAAGTGGGAGTTCAATTTGACAGTCACGAGTATGATAACAGACCAAATTGGACTAGACAAAATTCTCCTACCAATTAATAATAACCATTATTTCCAAAAAATACTTTTACATTTAGGGAAAATTTCTCCTGTAGAGACAATGTCTAGTAAGTAAAGTGAATTTCAAAAGAAAAAGAAAAAAAACTCCTCCATTTTGGTATAGTTCCCCAGTTTTTTAGGTTAAGTGGTTGTTGCTATGGTTGTTGTCATCAATTTTGTGATTGGTGGATTAAGCTGAGTAGACTAGTATGATTGGCTGCTCCAGAGAAAATGCCGACGTCTGTTCTCAACCTTAACAACATCTCATTGTACCAAACCTGTAATTCAGCTTTCTGCAAAAGGTTTGGATAAGCATCATCATATCATATTGGTATCATTCAACTGTCCAACTACAGGTGTCAGATTACAGCCAATTGACTGATTACATTATCTGGTACAACTCTACAGAATAATGAATAAAAAATTAAGCAGCTAATGCACCAATCACATTTTGAGGAAATTGTAATCATTATGGTTATGATTAGCATGTCAATTTTCTAGCAAAAATGCATTAACTAGCTGCATATAACTAAAAATGGCCATTTTTACTCCCACAGTCCAGAACTGTGCGAAATGCTGTGGCTTCATTTATATGGACAACCAAACGAGATGATGTAGATTTCAAGTTTTTGAGAAAGGTAAGATTGTCACAATTAACAAACTGAGAATAAGTGATAAATCATGTCTCCAGATGGTATCATAATATAGCGGAACTAACTCAAAGACTATTACTAACAATAACTGGAGATGCAAAGTGTACTTGGTTCTCTAGTTTACTCTTTTAAAGGCTTGGTAGCTAGAGTCATAGTATATACCGGTACTGTAATCATACTCTATATTTTCAGGCTTGTCTCCATGACAAAATTTTGTAAAAGTTTTTTGTTAATTTCTTTGTTAATTTATTGTTGTTGTTGTTTTGTTTTCAGGACCAACTTGTGAATCATTACAGCAAAGCTAGCTCATTGACTACAAAGGTCAGTATCATCAATTTTTTTGTTACAGCAGAGTGGTGGTTGCATGATTTGGTGTCATCTTTTTTGTGACTGTGGGAAATGTTTTCATATCAAATGGTTTATTAAAGTATGCCTGAGTTTAAGTGTAGGCTGAAGGGTAATGACTATAATGTGTGGAATTGGGCAACTACAACACAATTCACCCCTTGCCTCATCTGCATAAAATTAATGGGAAGGGGTAAACCCACATCTAGAAGGACCACATAGCTGCAGTGATTCAATCTTAATTAATGTTTCATGCCATACAGAACTCAGGAAAAGCTTTGGCAGTGTGGAATATATACCTACTGGTAACTTCTGTGCAAGACTTTGTGAATGCAAGACTATTAACTTATGTAAAAATGTGATTTGTCCTGTTCACAGTTTGGTCTCACAACAAACCTGAGGAATTTGAAGTGGTATGAAGAGGCAGATCACTATACTTTCTTCCCTCGTTCACACTTGCTTGGTTCAGATGATGAAAAGATGGACTTCATAGGTATATTAACAGAGGTGTTAACTAAATGTTGTCTGTGTTGTGATACTTGTACACTTTTACCATTCTTTTCTTTGAACAGATCATTTCTTTAGATCTAGCACAAAAATGATAGAGTCCTCTCCTTTTAAGGCATACCGGTATTTAAAGTGAAATGTTTATAACTGCCCTTCAGAAGGGAAAATGGTTATTAGTTCTTGAGAGGTAGGGATTTATTTGACTTCCTGCTGACTTTCAGATGATTACCGTTTGACTGCTGCTGTAAGCATTGTTAAGTGGGTTGTTCAAAGGTACGAAAATGGCAACACTGATGATAAGCCTGCGTCCAATGAAGAACCTCTGCCTCCGGATCAGGGGCATGCTACTCCTAAGACCACCTCTGCAGAGCTAAGGAATTCAGCCACATCCAGGGAAACATCCAAAGCAGGATCCCAAGCTACATCTAGAGCATCTTCCCACTCAGTCTCTAATGTGGTACCTGTGAAGGCCTTGACACTTGCACTGGAGGCTTGTCGTGATTTCCTCAAGTGTAAGGAGCATTTGGACATTGATGAGCCTCTTAATAAGGTCAGTTTGCTCTATCCTTCAGTTTGTGTATTTGATAAGTTGCACCCCAGCTTCTAGAGTCTACAGAATTTTCAAATTTTACAAGCTATAACCAGTAATTCTAAATGACAATCATTTTAGGGTCCAGCCATCTCAGAGGATTCCTGGAAACTACTACTTGTCTATTATTATCAAGTCAAGAGGTAATTGCATTCATTTGAGACAATGTTACTATATTGTGATGCTAGCATAATTTAGAAGGCTTGGGTATGATTCAAGATCCACTAGTGACAGCCTATTCATAGTAGAATTGCATCATTGAATAAAATCTCGCATTCTGATTGGTTAACGAAGCGAGGAATTTAGCGTGGAATTGCAAGTCGAAAACGACGCTAATAAGTGATATTGTTTTGCATCTATAGATGTAAACATAACAATTTTTAAGTAATGCTGTTTCCTTTTTTACTCATTTTTATTCAGTTATGCGATTCAAGGAAAATCCATTACTTTACTTGTGAATTCCGCATTAAATTGCACTTGAAAACCGATATCACACTCATTGCTTCGCAATTCATGCGATATCGGTTTTCGCGTGCAATTTAAAGCGGAATTCCCTCGTCAAGTAATGAACTTTCCTATAGAATCTGTTAAGTATGCTTATGTTTATTATAAGGAACAAGAGTAGGGAACAAAACTTGTGGTCTGGCCTTGATTCTGAAATTGGGGGCAACTGCAAAACTGTTCATAAAAAAAAAATTGTAAACTGCTCAATGCGGTCTGGCCAAAGTCCCCTGCAAAGTTTTGTAAAGGGCCATGAGCTATAGGATATGGCGCGATAGAAATCCTTCATCATTTTGTAAAGGAATATAAAGGGGAATTGTGGTTTCTCAAAACAACATCCTCGTGACATGATAAAATTAGTGTGACTGTTCACCATCTTTCAATCATAAGTATACCAGTACACGTACCTCTGACTTTAGTACATAATTTGTAATTCTTTTTTATTTTATTTCAGTCCTGGTACTGTGATTGCAACTGCTTATCCGTTTCTCAAAGAGTGTCAGAACATTATGAAACAGGTGAATTTACTTATACCTACTTGAGATCATAAACAACAACAACAATAATAATAATAATAATTGTAATAGTAATAGCAATGACAAAATTTATCACACAAGGGTTATTTTGAGATTATACAATAACAATAATAATAATAATAATGATACTAATTGTAATAATAGTAATGACAAAATTTATCACACAAGGGTTATCTTGAGTTACAGACTATGTATTTGACTGTGTGTGCACAGCTTGAGGGGCTTGCAATGTACCATTTGAAATGTTGTAGCTAGGCAAGGGGTTTGCATTCGCTTCCATGGAAACTAATATGTAGAACGATGGATCAAGTATTACAGACTTACAGACTAGGTTGTGCAAGGACGTCATGATCAGCTGTCAGTCTGTGGAAACAATGAAATAAATCATATGGGAGTCAGCTTTTCACTCTTAACCAATGGCCAATAATATTATCAAATGATATTGGTAATTTTGACAATTAATAATTGTGTTTTAGATGAAGGAATATCTTCCTCAAATTGAAATTGATGGTACAAAGAACATTTGGATTGTCAAACCTGGTGCAAAATCAAGAGGCAGAGGTAAAGCATGTTTATTTTACTTGGGTCCCAAAATACTTAAATCACGTTTATTGGGGATAACCTCAATCCATAGGTGATCAATAAGTTGGTCAATAGTTGACCAATATTTTGCTAAGAAGCAACTGGTAGCCTGACAGTGGCTCTCTCTTAACCAACAGGTAGCTGATGTCTTGATTAGGATGTCAATTGACTGATGATCAAGACATTAGCTGATTGTTGTTCGAATTTCAGCTGACGATCTGCTGGTTATCAGCTGCCCATTGATAACCTATCAATGGGTCTATAAATAAAATTTGGATTGATAAATCAACCATTAATACATGCATATCGATTGAGGTTGCTAATGGTTCACTCGATCCAAGAATTAGTCTATAGCTAATAAATGTTTCTTTTTCCCAGTTCTGCTCTGTGAGAGTTTTCCAATGGCTCTGTATGGCTTATTTGAGCCTTTTTCCTTGTCTTGTAGGAATTATGTGTATGGATCGTCTTGACCAGATTGTCAAGCTTGTTGGAAGTAATGCTGTGGGCAAGAAAGAGGGTCACTTGGTTGTCCAGAAATATATAGGTGATATGTTGCTTTAATGCTGGGTTTATACTAAAAATATAACAGGAAAGCACCAAAAACCTACCCTAAGAAGACCCAGAGAAGTTATCAATCAAGAGTAAAACTATCTTCTCTTGCTAACACTGTGAATTTTAGCTTGAAGCACTTATAGTCTTGTAACTATGAATTTTTAGTGACCTTTTTGGTGATCTTTCTTTTTGGTGATCTTTCTTTTTGGTGATCTTTCTAAACACAAGATTGCAATCACAATATCAAAAGACATTTTTTCCAGAGTCTTAAAATAATTTTATGTGGTAACAGAAATCCCTTAATTTTTATCACTATAACAGGGTTGCCACAGTCAGGGAAAAGTCAGGGAAAAACAAAAATTTCTCAAGGTCAGGGAAAAGTCAGGGAATTTTACAAAAAGTCAGGGAAAATCTTAGTTCTCGTCAAAGTCAGTGAAAATTCAGGGAATTTTGTTTTAAGGGTTCCACAAAGGTTCTGAAGTAGTCGATCGGGTGTCGTAAATCGGATGGAAAGCTTAAAAGCGATGGAGAAATGTAAAAGTGGATTTGGCCTGTTCGATAATTAATTTAATTCAAGGTCAGTGAAAAATGTTTTGAGGTCAGGGAAAAGTCGGAATTTTTTGGGTTCTAATGAGTGGCAACCCTGTATAACCACTATTAGTGGTTTTTTTTTTTATCTTCCAAAGTTTTAAAATGTTTATGGTTCTTTGGTGGTCTGTGTTTTTATACAGAGAGGCCACTACTGATCCATGGAGTGAAATTTGACATCAGACAGTGGTTTCTTGTTACTGACTGGAATCCTTTGACTTTGTGGTTCTATAAGGTACGGGCAGAAAATTTCATTTTGAATTCCCATATACTGTTACAGTAGTACTCAGATCATGTAATTAATGGATGTGCCATCAGAGGAGTTTGACATTAATGTCATTAATTGAGTCTTTTTGTCACCCAATATTATTTTCAAGCCTTTTATGTGACCAAGATTTAATACAATTATATCAAGCAGACAAGTGATGAGAATAAAAAAAAAAATGTATTAGCGGAATTTTAGTTGATCCAATATAAAATTCTCTAGATGAGAATTGTATGGCAGACGTTGACAGTGACGAGAATTACTAGACAAGTGAGACCTTGAGAGTGAAACGTCAAGATTGTTCACAGGCTGTGGTCCTAAACAATGGTGTTTCTGTATTCTCAGGATTGCTACATACGATTCTGCAGTCAGAACTTCTCTCTCGAAGACTTTCACATGTAAGTAGATGAATCTGACCTTTAGTAGTCCAACTTGGCTCAAAAAATATGTTGATCAAAGTACTGAAATGATCATTATTTTTAAAATATTCAGAAGCATACACCTTGCCAACAATTCCATCCAGAAGCACTTTGAGAATGGAGTCCGTGACAAGCGTATACCAGATGAGAATATGTGGAGTAGTGATGACTTGAAGGCTTATCTCACGTGAGTGAAAATTAATAACAGGTTTAAGTGGCAGCTTGCATTCATCTGGACTGTTGCTAAGCACCCACTGCTGGTGAAATCTGCACGGGTGAAAAAGCAGCGATCACGGGCTGGATTTTAAGCCAACGATTGCTTGGTAAAGCACAATAAGCACTTCCAAGGTTAGAGACTTACAATCATTCAACACCCATTGAGCCACGTACCTTCCTTGAAATTTAATTGGGCAGCTTTATCTCTTTAAGCTACAACCGTGATTCATAGAGATATGAGGTACAGTATGTGAAAAGATTTGACAGCATAATAGGTGCATAGCAGTTGCTTGAGGTGCAGCTGAAAGCAATTACATTCTCTTGAGTGCTCTTCCAACTTCTCAGCTAGTACTGTTTCATATCTCAATGAACTCTGATGATGATTAGCTAACAAATGAATTTTGAACCAATCATTTATTTATAACTACCTTTTAAACCCTAAAAGTGACCAGCAGCTAATTAATCTCTCCTAACAGTTACTGTGATACTGCTGAATCACACATTAAGGTTACAAGCTTAGAAAAAAGGAAATGTTCAGCAACTAGATCTAGAAAAGCTTATGATTGTGGAACAAATTCCCCTTGTCTGTACTTTAGGAAATAGAGAGAGAACAATACAGAGAATATGTATACCAATGTTAGTGTAAATTTTGAAGATCGATTACTTTTTTAAGAAGAGGAATTCCCTGTCACTTTTCAATTGTTTCACGTATTACCTCATCAGCATATACATGCATGCAACTGAATAAGATTAATAAATTTCTCAGCTATGTTATGATTCTCATTTTGTTTGATTAGAGCCCCCCACAATCTGTTTGATGTTGCATACAAAAAAGTTGTAGATGTACATACAAACATATCAATGCTGTCATTGTAGGAAACGTGGTGTTGGTGAAATGTGGGAAGAATCGATTTATCCTGGAATGAAGAAAGCTGTTATTTCTGCTGTGCAGTCCTGTCAGGAGATAGTGGAATATCGGAAGGTAAAATGATGTTTGCTTTGACACAAACTTTGTAAGCAACAACAGACCCTTATATAATGTACTTCGTTGCTCCACCACTGAACCTCAGAGGACTGTATGGTGAACCAGGCCATTACGATAAAAACATTTTTTTTTACAAGTTCCTTGGCTGTTTTTTCTGCTTTTAAACCATTCTGCTAATGTGATCACTTAAATTGTAACCTTGCTTGTAACAACAGAGACATTACCACCCAGGTTATCAACAAGTTAGCTGCAGTGACATTGTTAATGCTCTTCTAACAAATACTGCACTTGTTGTAAGACAACCCTCCAAGTGACTGGCTTCTAATTTCTCGTTACCATGTTACCCTTGAATTAAATGTAAAGGTCATGAGAATAAAGAAAATAATCATCAATTTGAGAAGCTTCTGATTGTCCTTATCAAAATAAATGAATTCATAATTATACATTCTCTTACCTCCTACATACAGACAATAGATTTTATTTAATTATGTAGAAGTGACATCATACCTACGGACAATAGTTTTATGCACTCTTGTCCTTCCAAGTGCCGCTCAGGAATATGCTTAATGAAACAATTATTGGATTTGGTTTTCACCTGATAGTGATAATTGTCAAGGCCTCAGTTTGTGTTATTTGCCTCAGCCTTCAGCTTCGATCAGCAGATAACACAAAACTTTGGCCTTGATAATTATCATTATCATGCTCAACCTCATCCAATAATTTTTAAATGTAAAGATTTCAGTGTGTAAAATATGAGTCTCAATGTCAGGGTGTGCTGGGTCAACCAGTACTTCTTGCTCGACCAGTTTCTTAAACGAAGGTTTGTGATTTTCGTTTTGTTAGAATTCATTTGAGTTATATGGTGCTGACTTCATTATTGGTGAAGACTACAAGCCATGGTTGGTAAGTATTAGTATCTTTATGTTATTATTAATATTATTTCAAGGCTGTGCTTTAATGAAAATTTGCTGGGTGCCCAAAGGTTCCTATTTGGAAAATCTGGTGTGCCCAGGTCCAACAAACCTTCATAAAAATAAAGTTAAACAAGTCACACAAACACAAAAGTTGGTCACCTGAGACACTAGGGCTCTGCTGGACCACAGTCCTGAATTTCCTCAACTTGAAGGCTTTGATGTATCTACGGAAAAGCTTGCTACTTAGTAGTGATAACTGTCTTTATGGTCTATGTGACCATTACATTTCACTCAGTAAACTCTCTTAATTTCTTGAGTGGCACTGTTTTCCCTCTTCAGTTGGAAATAAATTGCAGTCCTACAATGGGACCAAGTACAGCAGTTACAAGAAAACTGTGTGCACAGGTTCTGGAAGATACCATGAGAGGTAATATTTTGTCTTGTTGCATCAAAGACATTTGATTAATAGTTAAAATTCATTATTGCATACTAGACTGTAGGAAATTACGAAGGAGGGAATGTGTGCTTCCTGGATCCAGAGAATATAGTTTTGGTTGTAGGAAAGGAATTACATTGCCAGCTGAAATTTCAATTGAGGTGGTGAATGATTGAAGTGTGTAACCTCAGAAGTGCTGGCAAATGCCACTTTTTCATATGGCAAATTTCACAAGTAACTGGCACTTAGCAACAATCCTGGTGTACCCACGTACATGTATCTTCATAGTTTGTTATATGAGGTAACTACCTAAAGAATATTACTCCCCCCCCCCCTCTGCATGGGTTGCTGGTTCACTATTGGTTCCCCTTCCCTCATCCCAACCAGTCACAAGGCAGGTTGCTGGCATGGAGATAGGCATTGCGAGTCAAAGAAGAAAAAACACAAAACGACAGGATCACTCTGGCCAAGAATTGTCTCTTAAATGCACCTGCAGGTCTCCTTCTGGAGCTGTAGGCTCCAATAAAATGGGATAGGTTGGGCCTTAAATTATAACCATGTTTTGACCTTGGAACTATGCAACTTTTCAGTGGTGCTTGACCGACGCGAGGACAAGAACTGTGATACAGGAAGATATGAATTAGCATTTAAACAGGTAAATTTCCCAAATCAGCTTCATTATTTAGCACTGTAAAACATGCTTAACACACAACCATACTCAAACAAAAGTCTGAGCTAGCACTTGTTTTTCAGTAGATCATAGGTGAAAGGTTAGGGCTAAATATTAGTGGCACATTGCCCTGAATACATGCAGGTGTCAGTTGTCTCAAAGAGCCAGGAGCAGGAGAACATTTCTGTTTAAAGCATTGGATTTCATTGATTTCCTCAGTTGTAAACTCGGGATGAGCGTGAAATGACAATGCAGATTTACTGTAAACTTGATAATTTAGTTACTAGCAATATTCACCCACTTCAAACCCTGTTAACAGAAATGGCCTGCAGTGTTAACTTTTGTATGGAACTACAGAGGCGGATCCAGAAATTTTTGATTGGGGTGGGGTCCAAACTTTGGTTCAGAAAGGACTGTTGGACTTTTTGAGGCAAATTACTTCTCCCCCACACCCCCTCCCATCAGTCACGGTTGCACGTTGGCCACTTACCGTTTATTTGGATTCATTAAAAAATCAGCCAGTTAAAAGTGATATACGATCCTGTCTCAAAGTTGTAAGCGTCAGGTTTGAAAGGGGGGTCCAGACCCCCCTGGATTCGCCACTGAACTGTCACCCTCAAGTAGACATAAGGGCATCCATAACCCTTAAAACCTACTGATTCATTTATACCTATTTTAAATGATAAACTAGAGAGCAGCACTGCACAAACTAAAATAGTAAAACCTTATTTTAATCTCCTATGTACTTCATATGATGATAGCCTAAAATACACTACATCATTCAGTGACCCCAAAACATACCAGGTACTTGTAAATGTAATGTCTACAAAATGCCACACATGTACAACACCTTAGTTAAACCTTGCTTCACACTATGGGTCAACTTAAAGGTAAAAAATATTCTTTGTTACAATTTGTCAACTTAAAGGTAAAAAATATTCTGTTACAATTTGTACATATTAAGCAACCTTATTTGCATTACTTGAGAAAATTCAAGGCTGCTATTCTATCAAATTAAGGAGATTAAAACCATTTTGGTCGGTGCAGTACTGCTCACTAGTTTATCATTTTGAAAAGTAACCTCTATTGCCCACACCAAAATAGGTACCTGGCTGTATGTAGAAACCTATCATGATTATCTCCCTCTACTTACCCATCATATGAAGTATCTTTCTGTCTTTCATCAGCCACAAGTGTCAGCTCCTCCATACATTGGCATGAACATGGCAGTAGAAGGAGAGGGAATACGCAAACCAACAGCAAATGCAAAGAAGCATAATGAGCTTACAACTCCTAGAGTTATACCAAGCTCCAAGAATAAGGATGCTTCTACAGAAACTAAAGCTGCTGCTGTTTCCCAGCACAAACAGATGTCTCCAGAAGCCAATAATACTAAGATTTCAACTCTATCTCGCCCCAAAGAAGCACGGAATATCATTGCAAATCTTTCAGGGGAAGCTTTAGAGACATTGAACACCAAAAATCGGAGAGAAACAAAAAGGAAACCTGAAGGTTCATGGGCAACTGGTAGCATGTATGTTGCACAGTCCATTCCCATAGCAACAACCTTTTGCTCAACAGATGATGGGAAATTGAAAGGAATCATTAAAAGAAGTAAATCTCGTTATTCAACAAATGTTGTTACGACTGAGATGCAACCAAGAGTTCCAAGGGCAATGCAAATACCAAAAGCAGTACTCAAGTACTCCAATGACAGCAGAATGCGACAGAGAACACAGCTACCCATTTCTATTGGCCCAGACAGCAATGGAAAACATTTCTAACCATTACTGCGAGTTAATAGCATAATGCAATGGTGTTCCTGTCAACCCAAATATGGGAAAAAAGTACTGTGATAGAATTACCACAAATTTTGCAAATATTGCTAAGAACTGTGTGACAATTCTTGGAATAAATCAAGCAGAATCTAATTCAAGGTGAAAAAACATTGAACACTTCCAGACCTTCCATGGAAGGTCATTAAAAGTTGCATTTATTATTGAAAATGAGATGATTGATTAAGCTTGTAATTCCTAGAATTGCAAGCTTTATTTTTTTACCACAAAGAACTGTACAGTCTACTTAGTTTTTCCCTCTAAGATTATACAAATTTTTTAAATTGGTGGTTAATTAGAAGACAGGTACTAAAATCTATTTTAAATACCAAAGGTACACTATTTTCTGACTATACTTCAAATCCATATTGTTAGAGGCTTACTTTTACCTTGGGACAAATTATGGTATCAAGTTTCTCTCTTACACTACCCCCTTATCTTTGTAACTGTTCTGCCTAACAAACAATAAAAATACACCTGTCAGCAATTTAATCCTTGTGCATAAATTCAGATTACAAAATGAACTGGAAAGCTATGAGGCATAGTTAAGTTTATCTCTTATTTATGTTATAGTGAAACAAGAGCAAGTTTGTTGTGGTCGCTTAGGCAGTTATAATAAATTATTGCTTAGACCTGCAAGTTACCTTTCAACCACTGAGTCTTAAAGATTTTGGTAGATAGAAAGTCAAAGGTGCACTTTTAAAATAACACTTTGCAGCTGCTACAATGTACAGCACAAGTTATGAAATTACCTGCAGCTTTTCATTAAAAAAGAAAAGGCATTTGCGTTCTACTGACTGACAGTGGCCCCCATTACCTTGAATTTAATTTTACTTTTGCACTTATAACACCTACAATAGGATTGTAAGTTTAATTGTAAATTGATGCACTAAATATTTATTTACAGAGTTGTATATATGAATGGAATGTTAAATATTTTAATAAAATATTAACTATCTTTGTTTAGTGGTAATGCCATGAATACCTTTAAATCTAAACTTACATTTATTGACTGAGTAAAACAGTGGACACAACTAAAATAATGCTAAGGGGGGGTTCCCACAAGAATGGCAGTCTGAATCTAGTCAGACTGAACAGTTGCAAGCATTTGGAAAATGCTTCACTGCTGACCATTTGTTCTGGCCAAAAAAACAAAAACAGAAATCCAAAGGGAAATGAAATTTAGCATGGTCAAAACCAAGTTTAAACAGATGAAAATTACTCAAAAATGGAAGAAATTTTCAAATGAATTGGTACAAATACATACAAAAACTTAAAAATGTGCCTTTCTCTTTATCCCTTTGTGCAGTATAGTCTGCCACCTTTTCTTACTCATTCTACATGTGGTCTATAACCAATATGGAATAATACTTATTTGCTCTCTTTTGCAGAAGCACACATGTCTTGTTACTAGTAAAACATTAAGTATTTTGTTATGTATATTAGCACCAGTTTCACAGCAAAACCAGTCGCCTCTTCCCAGTAACCCCCTTAAACTTCTGTCAAGGTAGAAATGTTGTATCGTGGAGGTTTGGGTCTGAAGTTTCGTTTTTTCATGTAATCAATAAACTGATCTGGAAGCTCTTCTAGCACGTCTTTGGCCAATCGTGCCCCACTTATGACATTCCCAGCCTGTCCAATGTAGTCACGAAAAGGGACAAACTAAAATTTGTAAGGAAACATTATTTTAACAATGATACAAAACAAAATCTAGGTGGTTGGGTAGGGAGGACCTTGGGTGCTCTGACTAAGTAAATAAGGGGGTGCTCTTTGATTGACAGAGTTTGAGGGATGCTGATTGGATGAAAAAGGAATGGTTTGATTTGTTGATGGAGGTATGATTGGTGAGTTGTCTCCGAATGTAATTGATCGAGGAGGTTTTGGTTTAATCATGTGTTTTGTCATGAAGGAGAGAAGTTGATGCGGCAGTTCAGCTAAAACTTATTTAGTGAGCAAATCCTGAGCTAATGCTCCACGTGTTTGGAAATCTCGGAATGGGACAAACTGAAAACGAAGTGGAATAAAACTCGTAACAAAGGCAAGCCAAAATGTGAAATTTAGATCAGGTTTTAGAGTGAGAGATGAATATTTACAAAGATATTCTAAGTATATAATTGAACTATGGAATTTAATGATATGTATTAATGCATTACATATCAAGACTAAAGATGATACATTACTAAGATTTAAAGGAATTTGGGGGTTTTCAGAGGGAATTATATACCTTTTAGTCAATTTAGACTTTACTTTTATGATACTAGTAAATGAACAAAGTAAATAAAAAAATAGTTCTAAATATTAGTAGCAATATTATCATACATATTAACACTGAAGGTAAGATCATGGTACATCTGCTTCAGACAAACACTTTTGATGACATTCAAGAAATGTGAGTCAGAAGACATTTTTAAGTGTTTTGTTTCACAAAACCTTGCTAGAGTTAGCATTTGGATAACATGTAAAGCAAGAGCAATAAAACTATAACAACACATAACACTTAACCCTTTACACAATACATATTCTCCATACTGTTCTCTATACATTTCCTAAAGTGCTGACAAGGAGAATTTGTTTTAACAATCAAGGACTTCATTTGTTGGTGATCATCTCCTTCATTCTCTCGACCTTTTTGAGTGATTCAGGGCTGATATTGTAAGGAGAAATTAGATGCTAATCACTCTTAGTGGTTAATTAGGGTTAAAAAGACTTGAAGCAAGGTATCTGTTTTACTTGCTAGTTGCAGTGAAAGTTACACACCAGGGAGATGCATTGGTAAATTACAATGATTCATTCAGATTGTAAATTTTCTGTGTTTTGGAGACAAATAATAGAAATAGTTTTAATGCATTAACCTTAACACCTTTTTAAGGTTGCTAGAAAATCTTCTGAATTCACCACCTAACTAGTAGGATATGGAGCCCCCTGATTGGCTGGATAAGGAATGCTTTGATTGTCTGGAAATGGAGGTGCACTTGGATTCACTGGATATGATGCATTCTGATTGGCTGAGTAGGGTGCATCTTGATTCGCCGAATGTGGCATGATTGGTGTGATGTTGTCAACAGAGATTGGCTGAGGTGGCTTTGGTTTTATGGTATTTTTTTTCATGTAGGATAGAAGTTGATCTGGCACTTCAGCCAACACCTCTTTTGAGAGCAAATCTGGAGCTAGTATGCCACGTGTTTGGAAATCTCGGAATGGGACAAACTGTAAAAAAGAGGGGAAGAAAATTTTAAAGGTGAAAGCTCAAACCTTTCCAAACCAATTGCAACAAAAAGAAAAACTTATTTGATCAATCGAATTAACAATGTCAACATTTCCCTTGAGAAAAAGAGTGACAAGTACACTTGTAGACTGAGCGCAGAACTGAAAAGTGAGAAATGACAAGATGAACAGGATGAATGAATCATCCACAAGAAACAAACAAACAAATCAACCAATGGACAGACAGATAAGACAAATGGATTGAGAGCCATATTTGGATCACTGAGGAGGAGGATAAATTGAAAGAAGTCATGGAAAAAGGATTGACTGAGGACAAAAAAGTGTAGCAGTTATCATAATTATGCTTGGGAAAGAAAAGCCACTTTTCGATATTTACATTATTAATTTTCACTTCACAATTAAGAATTTGTATGGATCGATGTTTAAGAAAGTGTTCAGTATGAAAAACTCAAGATTTGCTCAGGAAAGAAGTTTAACAACCAACTGCAAAAGATAAGTAATTAGTAATTGAAACCATTTTTCTTCAAATGAATAAAGGCTGATAGTTTCGAAAGAAACTGTTTGGGGCTGTGTCAGTGGGAGTAACGAAATAATTTGGATATATCAACAAAGTTGAAGTGGTAAATTGGCCACCGTAACAATTCCAAAAGCTGACATTTACAGTGTTAGCCCTTCGTCAGAGCGGGGCCGTCGAAGCTCCGAAGAAGGGCTAACGCTCGAAACATCAGCTTTTGGAATAGTTACGGTGGCCAATTTACCACTTCAACTTTGTTGATAGATCCAAATTATTTCATTTTTCTTCAAGACATGTACTTTAATTGGTGCATCCATTTAAATTAAATACTGAAAATAATGTGCCAAATACTTTTGGCAGTCTTAATCCCACAGGTATCAACAAACGCTTTTCATTCCACTAATTTATTCGTGTTTTTCTCGTTGCCATGTTCCCACCCATAACATAGCTCCATTTTCTACCTTTAAAAGCACACACAACCCATGATTCTTCTATTCACTCCGACAAAGGGCTAACACTCGAAACATCAGCTTTTATAATTGAAACAGCCCAGGGTAATTTACCATTTCAACTTTATTGATATATTCAAATTATAATGTGCTTATTGACTGGCTGTGAGGGGCAGATGGGAAAATATATTGGCTAGAAGTCGTGACACATGAACCAAGTGTGGCGTGAAGGTCTGTGTGTCATGAACAAGAGCCAGATATTATTTTTTCCAACCTAACTTAGTCAATAAATAGGATGCAATAGACTGGCATGCATGGGAAAAACAAAAACAAAAAAGATTTTGCCATAACTAAAAACTTTTCCTTTATTTTTTGGAGTCAGAACAAGAAATTTGCAATCATCAAAAAAAAAAAACATGACTTATTTTCTCTTTTTCGTTCACTAAATGTTACTTGTTTCTTGCAAAAAGTAGTGAACAGTGTTGCTACACAAAAAAGGGCAGTCTAGGGCCGCACTCCTTTTTCTGTACCAGCTCACATCAAGCTGTTGGCCGTACATGTGTCATCTTTCACTGAGGGATCGTGCAAGTTGGGCAGGGCAGGTCTTATAATGACAGGTCGTCAGGTTTTTTTAAACCCTTTTATTCCCAGGAGAAACCAGGGCTCGACACCAACAGTAGCTCACTAGCCACAGACTAGTAGAAATTCAGTTTTGGCAAGTGGTTTTCAATTTCCACTAGCTAGCCAGTTTGGTTAGTAAATAAACTGAAATTTTAATTTGTAAAATCTAAGATGTCACTCACTCGCCACTTGGCTAGTAAGTTGAAAAGTTAGTGTCGAGCCTTGGAAACCAAAACAGAATTTCTCCTTACAGTTGCAATTTCAAGCAGAGGGTCGTTGAAAAGAAAGGAACATATTAATCAGAATATAATATTATTGCCTGATCTAACCCTGAATTCTCAAAGATAAATTTAAATAAATTATACAGTAGGCAGTGCAGAGAATTGAAATTTCAATCTAGATCACAGAAGCAAAAGGGTTAACACAGCTCTAAGTCAACTTCAACTATCTTTACCTGCACAATGTCCCTCTCTGCTGATCTCCCACGCGATGAAAGACGAACTGTATCACCATCAAGCTCTTCCATGGCTTTAATGAGAAACAAAGAAATCATAGTATATGATAAATTGATACTATATGTTTACAATGAATTTAACGTATCTTGTGGCTCACAATTTCAATCACATAATGCAATGTCTCTTTAGATAAGGTAACAATGAGGCTGTACCACAGGAATGTAACCTAGCTGGTCTTCACAGCATAAAGTGACTTGAAGTATTATTACTCAGATTCATGCTGCAAAGGCAGCATGGCTGATCGTGAGTGGAAAGCACAATTATCTGATACTCATGAAATCCTGAGGTCCTGGGTTTAAGTCCCAAACTGACCACCAGGCTCTGGTTGTTTAAATCACGTAGCTCCTTTTTCTGCCTTTAAAAGCACACACAACCCACAATTCCCCTATTTGCTCTGACGAAGGGCTAACGCTCAAAACGTCAGCTTTTATAATTGTAAGATGGCCAATTTACTATTTCAACTTTGTTGATATATTCTTGAAAATTATTTCGTTACCCCCACCGATGCAGCCCCAAACAGTTTCTTTAGAAACTATCAGCCTTTATTCATTTGTATTTTGATTGCTGCGACCACTAACTTTTGTCTTAGCATTTTTCAATCCACAGCATTCAGAACAGCGGCAAGAAACTCACAAAGGAGCTATGCCATTAATCACCTAGCTCCTTTTTCTGCCTTTGAAAGCACACACAACCCACAATTTCCCTATTCGCTCCGACGAAGGGCTAACACTCGAAACGTCAGCTTTTATAATCGTAACGGTGGCCAATTTACTATTTCAACTTTGTTGATAATTATATTCAAATTATTTCGTTACCCCCACCGACGCAGCCCCAAACAGTTTCTTTAGAAACTATCAGCCTTTATTCATTTGTATTTTGATTGCTGCAACCACTAACTTTTGTCTTAGCATTTTTCAATCCACAGCATTCAGAACAGCAGCAAGAAACTCACAAAGGAGCTACGCCAGGAATCACATAGCTCCCACAACCCACAATTCCCATATTTGCTCTGACGAAGGGCTAACACTCGAAAGGTCAGCTTTTATAATTGTAACAGTGGCCAATTTACCATTTCAACTTTGTTGATATATTCAAATTAGCTGGTTGTTTAAAGCCTGGATAACATTATCCACTGAGGAAATCACTATCCAGTGGATTGCACAATACATTTTGCTAACACTTATCAGTATTAATTGAAAAGAAACTCTTCTAATTATATAAGGATAGTAAACTTATAATTATGTACATACCATCAAATTCTGCTGCTCCAACACCCACAATAATAATGGAAATAGGCAGAGAAGCTGCCTGCAAGAAGAAATAAACAAATTTAATGTAATTTATAGATTTACCTTAAGTCAGAAGTGCCCCTTGTGCTTTACCAAGTGATCGCCAGCCAAAATCCAGCCAGTGATCACCACTTTTTCCTCCAGCAAATTTCACCAGCAGCCAGCACTTAGCCAAAATGCATTTTTATTTTAATTTTAAACAAACTTACATTCACGATGGCTTCTTTTGTCTGAGCCATGTCTGAAATAATTCCATCAGTCAACATCAGTAGTACAAAATATCTAGAAAGAAAATTTGAGTTGTGAACAGGAAAGTGATATTTGAACACAGCCTTTTTGAGGTTAAAGGAATTTAAAAAACTTCTTACTCCTCTCCAGGTTTTTGCCTTTGTGCTGCACTTGCTATTCTAGAAAAAAAAGGACAGTCAAACTAAAATCATTTAACCATCTGCTAAATATGTGAAAAATCAGAGTTTAAGTAGCCTTCACTGTATCTTATGGTTGGTCTGTAACATATAGAGAGAAGAAACAATAAATATGGTCATCCTCTATTAATTAAGCATACACCACAGTCTGGTAAATAGTACTTTTTGTGCATTCTGATTGGCTTCAGAAGTGATTAGCAAATTCTAATTCACCTCCAAACACCCAAAGAGACAAAACTGAGCATCAATAATTTAATTTCCAACCATTTTTGGCATATCGACAGAAATAAACTAATAATCATTCATTATTAGGATTCAGGTAACCATTAGGAATTGTTTGGGAAAAAAAATCCCCAACTTACCTGGCAATTTGATTTATTATTGGTGCAAAGTTGGTAGGACCTAAAAAAAAGCAAACAAAAAAAAATGCAAGGACATCACTGTGCTTTAACTCACTGAAAGACCAAGGGTTACAAGGTTAACAAAGACAAGAACAGATGACTTATCGATGTACAAGAGCCTATTTTGCAGGTATACTTTTTCAACAACAAAGTGCTGTCAGTAAAACAAGAGAGCTCCAACAGAATCTCAAGAAAGTACCAATCTAATCTGATAACCCTAGATGTTTTTTAGGTAGATAAAGGGTCACCGAAAAAACTATGCTTTTCACCAGATGAGATTGGTTTCTTTAGAAAGTTGTCATAGAGGACGGGCAAATGAAGATTGAAAAAACATCTGCAGTAAACTTACCATACAAAGACAAAGAACAGATGACTTATTGAATAGAATAGCCTATTTTGCAGGTACACTTTTTCAACAACAAAGTGCTGTCAGTAAAGCAAGAGAGCTCCAACAGAATCTCAAGACAGTACCAATCTGATAACCCTTAAGATAGATAAATAGATAGATAGTAGATAGGGTCACCGAAAAAATACACTTTTCACCAGATGAAGTTGGTTTCTTTAGAAAGTTGTCGAAGAAGATGAGCAAATGAAGATTGAAAAAACATCTCCAGTAAACTTACCATAGAGTTGTACTTGCTGTATACTGTGGTAATATGCAGATAGGACTCCATCTATTCCTTCACACATTGGATTTTGGAGATTACCATTCTAAAAACAAATAATTATCCCAGCGTCAAAAGAGTCTTTTTTTTTTAGAACAGTAACAATGAAGAATTGATAAATAGAACTCTTTGTTAGACCCTAGTGATCAATTTCTTAACTGGACAGAAGGCCCTTATCACTAGCATTGCAGGATGCACGTTTCTCTGGCAGAAGGAATATTTGAGATGAATTGGGGAGAGATTTACTGGGGATCTGGCACTAATAATTGTCAGGGCTAGACCTTGAGCAGACCTCTCCCCAGTCTCTCCCCAGCCTCTCCCCAGTCTCTCCCCAGCCTCTCCCCAGCCTCTCCCCAGCCTCTTCCCAGCCTCTCCCCAGCAAGTGTTGCTTACCCTTTAAACCCCTAAGAGTGACTAGCATCTAATTTCTCCTTACAATATCATCACTGAATCACACATTAAGGTCAGGAGAATAAAGGAAATGATCAACCAGAAAAAGCTCTTGATTGTCAAACAAATTCTCCTTGTCAGCACCTCAAAAAATGTGTCTAGCACTCTATGGAGAATATAGATACTGATGTAAGGGTGTAAAGGGTTAAAGCCTTACACTCTCCTAAGGGCAAAGAAACACTTGTGCAGAAGCACTATAACATTAAGGGCCTCCTTGCAGGCTAACAAGTTCTCCCAACAAACAAAAACAGAAATGGCTTCAGTCTTGCGGCACTCACCAGAGGAAACTCATGGGAAATTTTCCAGGTTGGAGGAAGGCGAGCTCCAAAACCAAAGGCTGGAAACAGTTTATCTCTGGAGAGGAAATAAAGGCAAGTCTACCTCAAATTACCATCACTCCTACTATTAACCATTAAAAACTCTCCAAGAAAAAAGACAAAAGAATGGTTAAAGGTAAAGAAACCAATCCTAGCAACGCATCGGCCAATACGTCAGTTGACGCACTACCAACACACCACTGACACACTACCAATGTGTTGGTAAGATGGACCAATGCATCTGCCAACACACTACTGATGTGTTGGTAAGATCGGCCAACGCTTCAGCTGACATACTACCAACACGTTGGCCGACGTCAGTAGGATTGGATTCTTTACCTTTACCATAGAATGTTTACTTTGTCTGACTTCAGACAAACAATACCTACGTGTCATAGTCTTGGCAGATTCTACCAACAGCTGTCAGTGCCTTGACATACTGATTTTGTTCATAGGGATTTATGTAGTGCAGGGAGCTGGCATTCCGTGGATCACCTTGAATCATATAAATGTCTTGAGTAATTTTTTTCCAATTTTGGATAAAAGATAGTGAATTGAGATTAGAGGCAATTACTTTTTTAATAGAATTGGCAATAATTTTGTAATCTGATTGACCAATTTGCTGTATATAACCACTAAAAGTACAGATATTGCTGCTCACGTCAACATGTCACACAAGGGTTTTAAGGGTTTTAATTGACATCAATATTGTGCACCTCATTAGTCCACAACACTGTGAGCACTGTAATGACAAATATCCTTGTCCACAATTAGAGTACAGATTAACCTAAACCACTGTCAATTTGTCAAATGAACTTGTAATCAAAATTGTATTTATTATTTTACGGGGCTATGGTCTAACAGCACCTGGTGGCCCATGGCATCTTACTTTTAACTCTTGGGTGACTCAGAAATCTTAGTTTTTTTCATAAAAAGCGTATGCTGAGCACCCTAAATTTCACAGTTTCAGAGCACCGGGCTCCCTTCAATTTTTCATAGAGAACAGCCTTGTTGCGGTGGTAATCAGCAATTAAAAATGCAGTTTGAGAATCAAGAATCACAGAGTTACATAATTATTATTAACCCTTTAGTCCCTAGGAGTGGCAGGCACCTAATTTCTCCCTGGCACCATATCACCCCCCCCTGAATCCCACATGAAGGTCACAAGAATAAGGAAAATGATCACCAACAAAGAAGCTCTTAACTGTGAAACAAATTCTCCTTATCAGCATCTTTGGAAATGTATAGAGAACAGTATGGAGAATGTGCATGCTGATGCTATGGTGTAAAGGGTTAAAAATACTTGTAACAGTGTGGTGATCACATTTGCAAGACTGGTCTAACAGCTTATCAGTGTCGCTTATGTTCATGATTATGATGATAATTATGATATTCTGACCAAAACACTCACAATCTAGTTCTGACTACATGCAGTTAATTAACTGCATGCAAAATTGCCAGGTCTAAACAAAATTTAGTTCAATGCTTGTCAACAGTAATAAAGCTCACCAAGCAACATGGAAGTGATGATCACAGTACTGCACTGGCTACATGCAACTTACCATTTGATGCTGTGAAGTCAATGGCTACAGTGAAACTTATCTGAGTTCTACAAAGCAACAATATCAGAATCTGAATCAGCCACGCAAAAATCATTCCCAGATCTATGCCAACTATTAAACTAAAATCCAGTACACATGTAGTCTATAGTCCCACTGACTCTGTGTGGACAACTCATTCGAGCTTGTTTATTTGTTTAATTCGCTAGTAAGTTAGTTATACAGTAGTACTATAGGTACAGGTAACTCATCACAGTTTGTTGTTCATTTTTTTAGTATCTTGGAACGATGGTATGCTACCTGGCTTGCGGACAAAAATATTAAGTAATTAACTGTAAGTTCTGATCCTTGTGAAAACAGAAGATGAAGATTTCATGACTCTGGCTTCCGGATGAAAACATAAACTTACACCGTACAGTGCTGTATACGCACTGTTAATAATAATAATAATAATAATAATAATAGTAATAGTAATAATAACAAATATTTATACAGGATAGCTCTTCAGTGCAGGAGCACTGTTATCAGTGGAGTCCTGTCTAAATAACATAATATAAGGATAAAAACTAGAATAAGATAAGAATGACTACATTAGTACTGTAGAACTGATGAGCACTGTTAGAAAACTATAATTATAATAACACTGATGAATAAGCAAAAAATACTGGAAAATATTCCTAAAATTGGCAGCATATGCTGTCTTACCCTCCTCTGATGTAATCCAAGAATGAAGGCTGTTGTTCTAGTTTGCACTGCATTAACATAATCTAAGAAAAAAAATTCAACAGGTCAGAGCATTAGCCACAATAGCAAGAAACAAAATATGAGTGACATTAGCTTTATACTGCATTCAGTAATATTCTATGCACAAGCAATTATGCAGTGCTTTAAATAAGATTTGAAATGGGTGGCTACCTTGGTACAGCACCCGTTGGAGAGCGACTTGAGTGCGACTTGAACATGGTTACCGCGACTTTAGTGCGGTGAAATATACCCGGTGACTCACAACAGAATACCCACCAGAGCTCCAGCAGGTGCTGGGTCTTGTTTAAAGCACTGATTATGTTGAACGTAATTTGTCAGTACGGAGAAACTGTTACTAATAGCAACTGTGTCAATTGTAAATTCTGCCCAAGCAAACTTCAACACCTAACTTAAAGGCTCAATCAACAAACCAAATTTTCAAAATCAATAAAAAAAATAAATGACCCCACTCCCATCTCTGCAATGAGGTTTTCAATCTATTTGTCACTAAATCAAAGAAAACTAAAACACAAATAATAATTAAAAAAATTACAAAGCTAGTAAGACAAACACAGGCAGGCAAGCATGTATTGATTCCGAACACTCATAACAAACAAAGGAAAACTCTCTAAGAGAGTATGGAGTAACAAAGCAACTAAATGAATCCCTTTTTACCACAACTCTCAAGGGGAATCAGGAATGACATAGTTGTCATTTATTTTCAGTTGGCAACCAACACTCACCATGCCTGAATTCTTGTAACCTTTCTTTTTTGCTTGTTTCTTTGGATTTATGGCCTGAAAAAAAAGAAAAAAGATACAGCCTGTGTGCTAATTCAAACATAAATCCAGAGTGGGGTAAAACTACAGAATACAGGGCCACTTAATTACATCTTATTGAATCACAATGCATCCTTTTGTTTTCTCCCTTGTTCTTCGAAGCATGCCGACAAGGTGGACCTGTATTCGGTGGTTGCTCCCAGGGTGGAAAAAACTTAATCGGTCTGTAATTTACTGTTTGGTTCTTGAAGGGGTATTTACTCCAACTTGCTGGGCTCCCTTGGATCTTACTCACCTCAAAAGTGAGTCCTGGAGTTCCATTCAGTTCATTGATGGTTGAGGAAAATATTCCAATCAGATCATGTCTAAAGCAAGAGAACTGTTCATCATGAAGATTACCAGACACTTATTTTAAGTATTTTTGTGGACCAACTGCACTGTACCACACTCTCCAAAGAAAGCATGTAGATTGGGAAGCAGGTATTAAATGGTGCTAGAGTTTGTTGCTCACATGAAAAATCTGCAAAAAGCACTCACATGCAGACAAAGAAATAGTGAGTGTTTATCAACATACTTGTCACCTGATAGGGCAAACATGCACTGCCTGCTTGAACAAAAACAAAAAAAAATAATGATAATGATAATAATAATAATAATAATAATAATAATAGCAACTGCTGCATAATAATAATAATAATAATAATAATAAGGTTAGCCTTTCAAGGTGGCAGTTTGACTTTCTGTTGGAAGGAGGACCGTAGACACAATGGAAAAGCTTTTTAGGATTAGTTAATGTACATTTATTTTTTTACTCCATGGCTCACAGGTTACGGTTTTCGCCCTGTGCTGCCTGATTAGAATGTAGCATTCAGTTGATTTCTCTGCGACATAATAACTGCTGCATAATAATAATAATAATAATAATAATAATAATAACACAGTGATTAGGTTAAGAGTTGTTTCTGTGTTACCCTCCATCCCTGTCCCAGTCATAACATTCCACTCTGATGGACCTGCCAAGAAAATAAATAAATAGATATCAAATAAATATTGACCCTTTAACTCCCATAAGTGACCAAGACAGAATTTCTCCTTACAATATCAATACAATATCAAGCAGCCAAGCAATGAGAACATAGGAAAACATCAAGGAGATTACTAATTGATCCAATACCAAATTCTCCAAATTAATGTCAATAGAATTGTATAGCAGACAGTAAGAAGAATTACTAATTTGATCTTGGGAGTGAAAGGGTTAACAATTGACTGAGTTGTTGATACATTTTCATCAAACTCACTCAGATTTACTGATTGATAAGTAAATAATTCAATAACAGGGCTGTGGTCTAACAGCGCCTGGTGGCCCCTGGTGCCTTACTTTTGCTCTTGGGTGACTCAGGAATCTTAGTTTTTTCATAAAAAGCATATGCTGAGCACCCTGGATTTAACAGTTTTAGAGCACTGGGCTCCCTTCAATTTATCTTAGAGCACAGCCTTGTATAAAAATAAAATATTAGTAAGATTTATTAATCTCAAATCACTTTTAAATGATTTACTTCCTGCAACAGAGAAAACCATGGAAATGCAGTGTTCATTTTTGTGGACAGAAACTGGAGACTTTAGAGGAAAAGTGAGAATCCAAAACAAACAGAAAAAAATTAATTATCTAATAAATATATCTTACTAACCAAGCGCAAGGGCCGTACTTAGAGAATATCGGCCTGAGGTCTTGACAGTATGGACCGAGCACAGCGAGGTCCATACAAAGAAGACCGAGGGTTGATATTCTTCCAGTACGGTCCCGAGCAAGCTTGGTTAATAAGAGATTTATTATACGACTGAAGTTCAAAGGGACACAAGTGCGGTATCATTCGGGACCATTCGGGACTGTGCCCTGTCCAATACTTAGAGAATATTGAGCGGCAATAGAGCATTTTGATTGGTTGATTTTAGTTACTGGCCCTCTGACTTCCCGAGTCGTGTAATAAATAATGTTATTTACCTATCGTAATCTCCATTGCAAAGTGCTCTTGCATGGATAGTAAATGCCTTCCATGTTGGATTCAGTGTGTTCTTAATTACCTCTGTCCTGTGAACTGCAGTATAGCTAGAAATACCACAAAATGTTACTGTTAGTATAAATTCATGATATTAATGATTATTAATATTATTTTCAAACAAGTCATTTCTTGAAATGTCAAGGGTGATTAGCCACATATTATGTTTTCCTACAAAATATGCCGCCCCCCCCCCCCCCTTTGCTCCCCAATAGAGTTTGGAGTTAATGTTGTACAAAAGTTCCAATAAAACAAAAGGTCAAACCCTCTGACAGAGACAAAGCTTTTATCATGTGAATTTGTGGTTATATCAAAACAACTTCTCTTCAGTAACCATTTCTCAATTCTCAATACCAGCCAGTTTGAAAATGTATTCAAATTGTAAGAAGACTTAAAGTACCAATCACTGAGTGATAGGGGTTCAACTAACCTATTATCCTCATTACATCTGTAAAATACTAGGAAAGGATCAGACTTTCCAAAGAAGTCTTTCTTGTCCAGCTTCTGTCCTTTAAACTGAAGTGTTACAACATCCTGTAAATATGCAATGAAAGAAATAAATGATTTTGCAGTGAGGTTTTCATTCAATTGTCTTTCAGTCTATGATTGTTAACTACTGTAACCATCTCTAAGCCCTTATCTGAGGGCTCAGTACAAACTTAAGGGAGATTTACTACAAATGAAAAGGTCTGGAGGGTGGTATATTATTGAAACTTGAAGCTGTAGACTTGGGGTTGTTAAAGAGGGGCACTTTGTAAAGTCAGGGGGTTATTTAACGTGACACTTCATTGGAGAGGAAGGCCTATTAGAAAGGGAGCATATTAGGGAGGGTAGTTTCTTAGAGAGTGGAGCTTATAAGGAAGGGAGGCTTATCAGAGAGGGGGGGGCTTATCATAGAGGGACCGCGCAGTAGAGAGGGAGGGTTATTAAGGACAAAGGATTATCAGAGAGGGGGCTCATGAGAGAGGGAGAAACCTAGTAGAGATGGGGCTTTACAAGAGGGGAGCTTAGAGGAGAGGGGCTCTTCAAAGAAAAGGAGGCTTATTAGAGAGGGGCTCTTCAAAGAAAAGGGGGCTTATTAGAGAGGGACTCTTCAAAGAAAAAAGGGCTTATTAGAGAGGGGCTCTTCAAAGAAAAGGGGGCTTATTAGAGAGGGACTCTTCAAAGAAAAGGGGGCTTATTAGAGAGAGACTCTTCAAAGAAAAGGGGGCTTATTAGAGAGGGACTCTTCAAAGAAAAGGGGGATTATTAGAGAGGGACTCTTCAAAGAAAAAGGGGCTTATTAGAGAGGGGCTCTTCAAAGAAAAGGGGGCTTATTAGAGAGGGACTCTTCAAAGAAAAGGGGGCTTTAATATTAGAGAGGGGACATATTGGAGATGGGGCTTAAAGTGAGGGTTCATAAGAGAGAAGGGGCCTATTAATGAGGGGAATGGTTGGTTCAAAGGGGGCTCGTTAGTGAATTCCTGAACCAGTGTAATATATTGGACTGGACAATCTCAAAGAAAAAAAAAGGATTGCAATGTTTGATGTTTTATCAACCTTTCAAAATCACTTACTTTGCAGTCACTAAGCTCCTCCGCAGTCACTGTGAAAGAAAAAAATAATAATAAAACCTATGCAAAACCTTTCTCTTCATATCATAAAATTGATTATCATCTCCAGTCCTAAGCATTACTGAACAGCTTGGATTACTTTTAAAGTTGATAATTTAAGTATTTCATAATAATCATTTATAACCTTTATCTAATAATAATTTGTTATATAATTGTAAATCAATGTATTTACATACCAATAATTGTCCCAGGTTTTTTTACTTTTGGATTACTGTATAAAAAGAAACAATAATGTGGTTAGAAAAATACCTAACAATGAAAAACTGAGAAACCTTATTATTAGGTAAAAGTATCATGTGAAACAGCTCATTTATTTAGTAAGAAAGGAAATATTTATACATGATTTCACTTTTCTATCAAGTTGCATAAGGTCATTGCTGTCAGTAATTCAACAACTAAATTTTTTAATCTCTTGTTGATGATCTGCATTTATCTAACTCTTAAACTCCCAGAAGTTATCAACATGTAACTTCTCCCTATAATATCCATACATTATTATATAGATACTGATGAAATACCAGGATTTCTCCTTTTACTAAAAAATCATATCTTCACCGTGCGCAGTGAAGATACTATTTTTACCTTTCACGTGTGACGATATTGGTGTGGCCATGGTTACCAACATAATTACTCAATTGCTGTTTCAAAAATGAATAAAAGAAGTTGTCTTTTATGTGGAAATTTCATCAGTATCTATATAATAAACAGAACATTACATGGCTGCTTGGGGATACGAATTTTATCTTCTCGTGCTGAAAGTATCTCTCACGAGTGAGCTGTGCTCACTCGTGAGAGATACTTTCAGCACGAGAAGATAAAATTCATATCCCCAAGCAGCCATGTAATATCCTCTATTTCTTTACTTGAATAGGTGTAAATTTACATAGTCAGCATAACATTATTGTCAATGTCGCTAATTTATTTCTTGATCTTTGAACTCTCAAGATCAGATTGGTGATACTTTCAGCACTCGAAGACAAAAATAATTTGTATCCCTGCACGGCCATGTAATATCCTCCATTTATCCAGCAAGCAGGTAATGAGAATACTCCAACTTATCAGGTGGAAGTTGTAATCTTGATCCAACACCAAATTCTTGTAACTAATATAAAAGGAAATGTGTAGCAGCAAGAGGGGAGAAGTGACAATCTGAACTTCAGAGTTCAAAGATCAAGAAATAAATTAGCGACATTGACAATAATATTAGGCTGACTATGTAAATTTACACCTACTCAAGTAAAGAAATAGAGGATATTACATGGCCACGCGGGGATACGAATTTTATCTTCTCGTGCTGAAAGTATCTCTCACGAGTGAGCTGCGCTCACTCGTGAGAGATACTTTCAGCACGAGAAGATAAAATTCGTATCCCCAAGCAGTCATGTAATGTTCTGTTTATTATATAGATACTGATGAAATTTCCACATAAAAGACAACTTTTTTTTCTCATTTTCAAAACAGCAATTGAGTAATTATGTTGGTAACCATGGCCACACCAATATCCTCACACGTAAAAGATAAAAATAGTATCTTCACTGCACGCAGTGAAGATAAGATTTTTTAGTAAAAGGAGAAATCCTGGTATTTCACCAGTATCTATATAATAAATGATGTTTGCAGATGAACTACAATTCAAGTAATTTCAGAATAGAAACACAATCTCTGTGGCTTCTTTTCTGCAATTTCTTTCCTAACAGCTAACCCGTAATTATTGTTAGTCACAGGTCAAAATATTATTTATTTCATTTTGTTGAGATCTTACACTAATGGTTTTTGAAGCCTTCCACCAAATTCTCCAACAATTGAACCCAGTGTACACTCAACTGCTCCTATGAAATCCTGAAAAAATTTAAGAAATGACTTAAATTACACCTGAGATTCTTCATATCAAGGCTTTACTTAGTTGAGAATTCTTGGCAAATTAGTTACAAACAACGTGATAACTAAAAGATGGTATTTTGAAATTCTTGAGATGCTTGCTAATACCCCCATTCTACCTAAACAGGGGTCAGAGAAATTTAGCATAGATAACATTCTAAGCCCTCACATTGAATAAAGTACAAGGCTGAAAAAACTATCTAACTACAGATTTGTGAGAAGCACTTAAAAACGTTGAGAAAACTGTCAAAAACCCTAAATCAAACATTAAGGTTTTGAGAATAAAGAAAATGATCACCAACTAAAAAAAAATGATTGCTAAACAAATTCTCCTTGTCAGCACCTTTGGAAATGTATAGAGAACAGTATGGAGAATATGCATACTGATGTTAGTGTGTGAAGAGTTAAATAACATAGAGGGGTAAGTGTCTGATACTCACATGGTCTGATAACTTGGCAGAATTTTTATCTATATCATACCTATAAAAGGAGACGTTTTATCAATTTACAAAACCTATAATCAGCTTTTTTCAAGTTTTCAAAATTATAAGAAGTGAATAAAGGCTGATAGTTTCTAAAGAAACTGTTTGGGGCTGCATCGGTGGGGGTAACGAAATAATATGAATATATATCAACAAAGTTGAAATGGTAAATTGGCCACTGTTACGATTATAAAAGCTGACGTTTCGAGCATTAGCCCTTCGTTGGAGCCCTTTGTCATTCGCTCTGACGAAGGCCTAACGCTCGAAACGTCAGCTTTCATAATCATAACGGCGGCCAATTTACCATTTCAACTTTGTTGATATATTCATATTATGAGAAGTGAAGGCTGTAGATAAAGAAGCAAGAGAGAAAAGCTTCTTCCAGTAGTTAGTAAGTTCTTCAACTTACACTTCGAACCGCAACTTTTGCATTTCCTCAAAGAAGTAGTGGATGGTAAATGTCTTCACGAAGTCTGGATTTAGTGTATTCATTATGTGCTCTGTTCTCCCAAACTGAAAAATACAAAACAACCCGTATAAATAAATTTTAAAAAAATGCAAACACCTATCTTATGTAATGTGAATGAATAAAGGCTGATAGTTTCGAAAGAAACTGTTTGGGGCTGCGTCGGTGGGAGTAACGAAATAATTTGGATATATCAACAAAGTTGAAAGGGTAAATTAGCTCCGACGAAGGGCTAACGCTCGAAACGTCAGCTTTTGTAATCATTACGGTGGCCAATTTACCATTTCAACTTTGTTGATATATCCAAATTATTATGTAATGTGACTTTTACGTACCCTCTTCTTCAAATTTTAATAGATTTTGATACTTTTTCCCGCAAATCATCAGTTCCTAACATTGTAATTAATTTACTCTAACGATGTTTCAACCCACCGAGGAATGTCAAAGAGTACTAGGTGAGGTGTTGGGGAGGCATGGGGAAAAGCTAGAGGTTAACCTGCCATGGACAAGTGTCCAATCCAGAGGGGAGCTTAAATATTGCAGTATTGTGTTATGGAACACTGTTTGCTTCTAGGAACAAGAAATTGGATGCTCAAGTCTCAATAATCTAAAAAGGAACCACCTACTCACCTGAAACTACTCAAAGGCATTCAAATTTTACATACTTTCTGCTTCTACTATTCCTTTTACACATAGGTATCCATTTTGTTTTTACTTAGAATTTATAATATAAATATCATTCTCTATTTTCAAAATTAAGTTATACATTTGCATAAAGAGCAATTTCCTTTTTAACAAGACCCTACAAACTTGTTGCTTAAAATATCATCTAGCATAACTAAAAGTCATCTAAGTATGTATCCATCTATCTACCAAAATAAATAGTCTATTTATGCTAGGGAGACCAGGTAAAGCTCCGATGACGTGCGCCACCAAGCTCAATTGCACCTTTATCATCATTCTTAGACCCAATAAATCTATGCAACTTCTTAGGTAAGAAAAACCAAAATTGTCCTCAGACAAACCCTTCAAAAGATTTGCATGACATTTTTCTTTTTACCTCTCTCCACTCCTTACTTCCCATTCCTTGAGTGTACATCACAACCACTGTGAAAAAAACAGATTAAGAAAAGTAGTTAACTACTGTTTAACAAATGGTAAACACCACAGTGTACACTATTGAGTTATGGATGCATGCGGCAGGTTGCTAAGCATGAAAGATGTGTAAGAGTCGCTCGAGGCGATAGCCGAGAGCGACTCTAGTTTCTTGAGTGCTTAGCAAACCTCCCAAGTGCATCCATAACTCAATATTGTACGCTGTGGTGTTTACCATTTGTTTTATAACACAACATTGATACATTGTAGCTAAAGAGTTCCCTTTTATTTAACAAATCTTACCTGACCAGAAAAAACAAGCGGGTGCAGAAAAATAGTCTTTGCATTTGCTGACGTCAGCAGCGTAAACCCATAGGCAAATGGGGAATGCTGAATTGACCAATCAGAGTGCGCGCTTTCCTTTGGTTATGTTATAATACCAAATTCCCTAAACTAAGCAACATATGGCAATCTACCAAATTCCCTAAACTAAGTAACATATGGCAATCTGCAGTCTTTCCTTACACTTAGGTAGCACGGAAAGCCGTAAACCTCTTGAACAAAATCTCATCTTTCAAACTGGCAGTCTAAATACCACAGGGATCAACAAACGC